TTTATCCTCGGACGATGAGGAGGTAAGCATTGAGCACCATGGTGCCAAGTTCGACGAAGTGTCAAGTGCAGAATCTAAGTCACTGAATAGCGTGCTCAATTAAGTTTTCAAGGTCAGGGATCTGATCAAATCACCGTCTGACTCGGATGAGTGGCTGGCTCATCTTCAACATCCAGAAATAATTGTCATAAGCTCAGACGATTCTGATGGAGAAAGTGGGGGAGAAGCTTAAAATGTCGATAGCAATGCAAGTGTGCAATAAATGGCCCTTTTGTAGGAAATTATGAATAGTATTTTCTGGTATGGATGATTTTGGTCACGTCCTCTGCGTATATGCAACAATAGCATGTTCATAATGGGTAACCGCTATAGCGTATTTTAGGAAGCCGTTATTGTTCCCAACTATCGAGAATTACAAAACCCATCTATCAGGGACGACATATGAACTGTCGGGATGTAATGTTGGTGTTTTGCTTGTGAATTGTCGTTTCATGAAAATCAATTTTCCATTTCGACAAACTGTCAGTCGAAACTAATGGAACCATAATGATCTGTTAAGTTTATAATGAAAATAACGTATACATCCCGTTTGTGCTAATGGAACCGTAATGATCGATACTTTGCTTGCAAAACATAACGACCAATTTTTTATTGGCATATGATAATAACAACAAAAAAATAACATAATTTCAGAATGTACACTACATAGGTGGGAACATTTTTGAGATTATATTTGACAATCACTTTTACCACCAATTTAAGTCTTTATCGTCGCGTATTTCGACCGGAGATATGTTCAAGTTAGGAACTTTGAACTTCAATTCAATTTGAGTGTGGGGATCCAGAATACCAAATTTGTCCTTCAACCTTAACAAAAAATCGACTACGGTAATACTTGTCGGCACCAGAATGGAAGTGGTTTTGTCCCCTCTCCACTTCCATTCGTCATCCGCATGAACAAACTTTTCCCCATGCGACACGATAAATCTCACATGATTACTCATACCTAAAATGTTGGGATTGCAACGATAAGAATTCAGAATCAATATATTGGCATTTAATAGTATGAAAGTGGCACTACATAATACGTAAATCCGTACAATAGCAAAAGGTCAAATCAAGGGTTTCCATCGTTTTGAAGTGTCCAAATTGAAAGTAAAATTGTATAACCTGACAGTTTGTAAATGTCGGGTTTGACATCTCAAACGTCTAACCCGACGATTTGTAAATGTCGAACTCGACAGTTCAACTGTCGGGAATGTCGGGAAGCAGATGACAGTGGGTTTCTCAGGCTTCTTCAACACATCACATTAAGTGCGATCATCATTATTCAGCTACAAAATGACAAAATGTAAATGGCATCTGGGTCTTGTAATTAAAAAGACCTTAATGGTGGTAATTGAAGAAATTACTCAAAACCTTAATGGTGATAATGACATTTTGTGAGGATTCCAAAACCAAACAAATGAATGCATAATACTTTCAAAAATTTCAAAAAAAATGTCCATGTTGTATTTAACATGTACAAATAAAAAGTTATAAAAGTAAAATATAAATAATTTGTAATTGCTAACCTCTCAAAATGGATGAAGAATGCAACGCAAATGTCTTCTTGATCAATGAAAATTAAGAAGATGTAGAAAATGTAGGCTTTCGTGTTTATTTTACGTTTTCAGATTTCTTTGATGATTTTTTATTAACAAAAATTCATATTAATCAATAAAAAAAAACATTTCTCCATATTTTCTATATAGAAATTAAATGATCCCATCAAATCAATACTTTTCCTTCAAATCAAGCATTTAATGCAACTAGAAATGTGTCATTAAGGGTAATTTGGACTTTACACCCAAATAATGTGACATTTTTGCTTACAAAAAGTGAAAATGACAAATTTTTTGGAACTTTCATTTTTTGTGACATTTTTGTAAATTCCCCTTTTTCAATCTAATTATTTTGATAGTGCAATATATATAAAGATTGAACCACCATAATGCACTAAGATGGAAAATAAAGAATGCTGATAATAAATGCGTAATTTGAACCCTTATCTCAAATGAATGATATTTTATAACGTTAGAAAAATGATTGTAAATTTGATTGGACAAGTCTCAGTATTATGGGATGAATTAAGAAGTTGGAAATAATGTACAAATGCATCATTATCTAAATTCTCATAAAAGACAATTTGAACCAGAAAGTGCGAAATATAATTTATTTAGATGTATTTATTGATAAAAAAATAAACAATATCTCATGCACTAATTTTAAATACTCCAATACGAATTGATGTTGTAGGAGGATAATTTGATAACATTATTTTTTATATATCTATTACACGTCTGAAACGTTATGATATTCGATTATAATATAAAAAATCTTCAAACGAATATGAAGCAATTGACAAAGATAGTCTTATTAAAGAGGCATATGATAAGTACTTATAACAAATTATAAAATCTCAGAAGATGTTTAGATATCTGATATGTTCAAAGTTGATATATCTCGATAAATTATGTCATTATGGAAAAATAAGTAGAATTGAATAAGAATAGAAAAAGTTGTCGACAACAATTTTACACGTGATATATTGCATCATATAGCGAGGAATCAAAATAAATGTATTGAAATATATCAATCGAAGTAATGATTGGCTAAATAAAATGCATGCAATCCCAAATTGAATTTGTTAAAGGAACTTGAAGTTTATAGACCTATAGTCTGAATACTTAAATGTACATATTTATGCGAAATGAAAATGAAAAAGATAAAGCTGTAATATAAAATGTACGACTTTTTACATAACAAATGTCATGAAAATCTATAGAATTAGATAATTTATCAAGTGACGAATGTAATCACAAGTCTCCATTTCATTAGAGTGACAATACATGAAATTTGATGTGCATGTAATAAATGTGACTATAGATAATTTATCTTGTATTGTTTTGATACTATCCTGAAAGGATTTAATATACCTGAAATATAATTCAAGTGATATATTATGAGGGTGAGTAAATACGTGTTGTACTCTTTTTCCAAGGTTTTGTTCCATTGAATTTTCTTGACAATATTTTTAATGAGGCAACTTTTGTAGCGTATTTAAAAGAAAAATGTATTATTTTCCCATAGGGGTTTTTCCTAATAAGTTTTCGATGAGGCCTATTCTTTATATAATAATGTCATTAACCTAAAAGGCATTTACATTAAAAAGGTACTCTTATCTGTATGAGACTCTCGAAGAGATCAACAAGATTTATTTTTCGAATCGTCATGTTATTATAGTTTTCAAATATTGATAAAATATCTCTTATGAAGATGGTGTTATTTGAAAACTATGCAATACAACATGAGATATACTTTACTAGAAATTGTAATATCGAAGATATTGATGTACGAGATGTGGATAACTTAATATAAGAATTGAAATCAAGGCAAGTATCTATACTCTTTTTCCTTCGATCAAGTTTTGTCCCACTAGATTATTTTTACAATGTTTTAACGAAGCAACATTTTATTACTCTAAATTATTTGTACTATTTTTTCATTTGTTGGTATTTTTATCTCATCGAATTTTTTGCCAAACAAAATTTCAATGAGATAATTATTATATAAATAATTATAAAAATGGGAGTGTTATAAAATAATGAGATAATTATTTAGTATTATCATGATATATAGATAAATTTTATTTAGTTTAGAAAATATATTTCATTCCAATTGTAATTCTTATTTTGGATCTTATAAATATAAGGTATTAATTCATAATAATACATACTTGAGTTTTGACTCTGATATTCTCCTCCTTTTTCATAATATTGATTTTATTATTTATTTTTAGTTTCAATTGAAGAGGATATTTTATGATTATTAGGGTTTTGTGATTTTAGTTGAAAATGATATTTTATGATTATTTGAATTTTAATTAAATGCAAACTCTAAAAAAGTTCAAAAGAATTTATGAAAATAAATATTAATTGATGAATTCAAAACGGTATATTTTTTATTTAATTTTATATATGTCTAATTATGTAAATTTAAATAAGATTAAAAATAAATATTATTATTTTTTTTAAAAAAAATAATGCTATTTACAGTCGCTTACTGTTGCAATCGTCCTACGTGATATATATGTGGCAATTAGAAATTTGATATAAGAGGCAAGAAAAAACTACTATATTAATATATTGAATCACAAACCGTCATATAGCATATCACGTAGAACGACTATTGCATTGAGCGACTATAAATAATATCACTCTTTAAAAAATGGATATATATCAAAAAATCGTGAATGTAAATAACGTTACCCTTATAAACATGGTCATTGATGATAAACTAATTAAAAGTAATTTAATATATTTTACTCCTAGCCAAACATGGTCTAATATGGTTAAGGTATAGTTGTCTTTGAAACCAGCTTCTCTCTTAAAATTCTCCGTGGGATCGCTTACCTCGTCGCCGTCTCAGATCAGTCACTCTCCGATCATCTCTAAAGAGCCCAATCCGGATTTCCATATTCAATTTTTCAGTAAGTTTTATTGCTCCCACCTTAAATGTTACAGTATTTGGTTTCTAAGTTTTCATTTCAATTTAGGGTTTGAATATAGAAATTTATTCCACATAGTGACATAATGTACTACATTATCAGATTACGAACATATCTAATTTTTTTTTTAGATTATCGTTTGCAATTTTTCATTTGAAGTGGTAATTGGAGCTTGAACTTGAATGGAAATTGTTGCAGGTTTTTCTATTTAGGAATTGCGGTTAATCTCAGCATGGTGAAGTTTCAGCTCTAACATAAATCTTCATGGCAACTTTTTTGCTTCAATTTATTTTTATTTAGGCATTTACCGGTATGTTACAGTGATTTTTTTGATATTATCTTAATTGTGATTTTCTGTTCAGAATTTTATAATTGGAGCCTTCAAGCCAGCATGCATCGCATCAATTACATTTTCAGATGGAAAATCCAGAAAGCAGGTGAAAATTTATTGTTTATCATGGTACTGAGCAATTTTAGTCTGTCTGGGGTAGTACCCATTTACGGAATGTGTATAATGCTCTGATATTGGAGAGTTAGTGATGGACATCGATGATGTATTTTTATATCTAGAAATTTGGTGTTCTCTTATGCTTATTTCCGTAGTTGATGCTGTCATCTAAACGAGAGTCATTTATTGCACAATGATGTTAAACTTCAGGTGGCATTGCAGAAGCATGTATAAATATTGTTAAGCCTAGATTTTTTGGTAGTTAATTCGAGCAGTAAATGAATTTTTTTATTTTTTATTTTTTATTTTTTTTTTGGCATAGCATCTAAATAATTTTTAAACAACTACTTTTTACTAGAGATAAAATCTCATCTTTTTATCTCTGGGCGTGTTAATTCTGAGTAGGTCCCATTGAAGAAGGATAATGGTCAAACAATAATGGTGCCTCTCTTCCAAAGTCAAGAAACAATTGCTGGCAAGGTGCATTTTCTTTGGAAGTATTTATAATTGTTATGTATAAAACTGACATCTGCATTCAAAAATTGATAACTACCATCAATTGGGTCATTTTTATTCTGCATCTTTGCAGATTTCTGTCGAACCAATTGCCGGAAAGAAGGTTGAACATAATGGAATCAAAGTTGAGCTCCTTGGTCAGATAGGTTCGTTTGTCCCTTTTTAGCAAAATCTAAAGGTTGCTAAAGTGGGTTAAGTTATACTCCCACATTTTGTTATGAGTAGTAAGTTAAGTTATGTGGTAAGAACTCATTTTAGTTGTACATGTCTAACGTCTGGTAAAACTGGTAAGGTCCTTGCATGATAATTTTTCAGCCTGGATGTCTGCCTATGATCTCTGAATTTATAGATTCTCCATTTTTTTTCTAGATTCCTGTTCTAATGATTTGAGACATCAATAAAAGCCTTTTGTTTTTTGTGCATTTTGTCTATGGTTGTCACTATATTTCTGACTAATCACATATGGGAACTGTTTCCCCTTGCAGAAATGTACTTCGACAGAGGTAATTTCTATGATTTCACATCTCTTGGTGAGTACATAACTTTTTCGTTATAGTTCTCAAGCAATTTAAGTTTCAGATATCTGTCGCTACAACTCTCGATATTCATTTTCTTCAGTAACTCCAAACAATGAAGTTTTGAAACACCGTGCCTTTTTATCTTAATTTCAGTATGCTTGTGGGNTTGATTTGACTGTTACAGAAGCATTTTTTAGTCTCTCATGGTTCTCTTTTATTTGTGCCATCGCTGTCACGGATTCATTAAGATAATCATCATCGAGAATTCATTCCTGGTCGAATACACTACGGGTTCATTAATTTAATTGTCATCAAGACTTTATTCCTGGTCGAATACAAAACACTATGGATTTATTAAGTTGATTGTCATCAAGACTTCATTCCCGGTCGAACACAATACACTACAGGTTCATTAAGTTAATTGTCATCAAGACTTCATTCCCGATCGTATACAATACACTACGGATTCATTAAGTTAATTGTCATCAAGACTGCATTCCCGGTCGAATACAATATACTATGGATTCATGAAGTTAATTGTCATCAAGACTTCATTCCCGGTCGAATACATTGACTTGTATTTGTGAGCAAATATGCAAAATATAATGTTTCCTTGTTTTATACTTTCCAAGCATCCTTTTTTTTGGCAAGTCTTATTTGATATTTTATCTTTATAGTGGTAGCAAAATAGGGGTGTATGATATTATTTCTTGACCAGAAGGACTTTTGTGCTTGTTTCAGGTATATCCTCAAAGTGACTGTAAGTCGGGGCTATGCTGGTAGCATAGTGGAATACCAAGACTTTGTGGTAATACATGTTTACCTCAATTTCACAATCTAGAAAACACTCATATACTATCACCATACATCTCTTCCGATTCCAGATTTCAGGAGCATGTATTCCCCTCATCTCTTGAACATATGATTAGATAAGTAGTTTTGGAGGCGGTTGGTTGTATGAAATCATTTTAAGTCAAGACTATTTAGTCTAGCAAAACAGGTAATTGGGACCTGCATGAATAAGGAAACTAAATACTTTTTGACGCTTGGTGTTTCATTAATGAATCAGTTAACATCTCATTAAACAATTCTAGGATTTAATGTGTAGTATATTTTTGCACACCGCATCAGTAGTCGAACATTTGCTGTAGACTTGTCATATCATGGATATTAGTTACTTCTTTGCTGTATTATTCTTCTATTGTTTTGGACAATTTTATTCTTTGAGAAAGAGACGATTGTAAAAGGAAAAAAAAATATTGTCATTATTTTCTTATTTCAGTCCCTTTATTCATTCTAATTTCCCTCTTAAATGTTGTTTTGTGGCATTTAAAGTTCTGTTATGTCTTGTAGGAGGCAGAATGTAGTCGTATTGATTTAGTTATTTTGTTTCTATGGATCAGGTTTGGAACTATACCCCTCCTCCACCAATCAACAACAGTATTAAGGTACTATCCTCAAAAGATTTTTGCATTTGATGGACGTGTAATCTAACTGTTAATATTGTGCTTGAAATGTGTGAAGAGGGAAACGTTTGAAACAGTTTCTAATGACTAATATCATCAAAATATTTAGCACCATAATTCCCGTTTAATTTCCTAGTGTTGTGCAGCTGAGTAGAGCTTGCTTCAGTAATATTCAATTATTTAACGTGCAGATGGAAGTTGGAATTGAAGACTGTCTTCACATTGAGTTTGAGTATAACAAGGGCAAGTAAGTGATTTATCTCTCTCTCTTAATTATGTATGATAGTTCGGGATTAGCGCACATTTGAAATTTTTAGTTGTAAGCTATACTTCAATTACACCGCTCATTTATGGGTGTTTATTTTGAGATATTTTGCTGTGTTAGTTCCCACCAGCTCCCATGTTTAACCAACTGAAACCTCTGTCTAGCAGCCGTGCATGTTGTAGTAAATTTTATTTTCTTATCTTTGTACGTACTATCGTTTGGCAGAAATCTTTAAAGACAAATGCACAGGACAAAGGAACCCCGTCTAGTTCTCCAATTCACGGGGAAATACCTTTTTTTTTTAATTTGAAAAAGTTTCCAACGAGCCGTGATAATAGAGTGGTCTTACAAAAGTATAATTTTGGTAAGAATTTTAGCATTTTTTGCCCTGGCAAAACAATAGCACTTACTAAGAATGTGTAAACAGTAACTCCTATACTTACAATATGTTGAGAATTAATATTTTGAGTTGAGGAGTAAGTTTCTTGGCCTCTATAAATAGACGGATGGCTTCTTTAGTAGTTCAAATGTCAGATTTGCACAAGCAACCGCTTGTTGTTTCTTGATCAGTCCAAATAATTTTCCTCTACTTATCTGTGAGTGCCCTGTTCTTAATCAAATAGTCCTGGTTTTTTTGAAGCTTGTTACTTTTCACGAGATGGAAATTTGTTATGGGCCATGCTTATTGATTTATAATATCCAGGTATCATCTCAAAGATGTTATTGTAGGCAAAATATA